CCTGTGTGGGAGACCTGGAAGAGGCTCCTGGCTTCGGATAGGTGCAGCTCCAGCTGCCAATTGGGGAGTGAACCATCAGATGGAAGACCCCTCTCTCTCTCTCTCTCTCTCTCTCTCTCTCTGCCTCTCCTCTTTCTATGTAGCTCTTTCTAATAAATATTTTAAAAAAAGAAAAAGAATTAGTTCCTATGAAGACCTAAAAAAACTAGAGCATGAACAATGGGATGCCGGCATGGCAGATGGCAGCTTTACGCACTACACCACAGCATTGCTCCCCCACCATCTTCTGATTCTTAAACATTACTCTGCAGGTTTCACCAGACGATGATAGAAATCTTCCAAGGAAACACTGTCTTCCAAAGAGGGAGAAACAGCACCCCTCTCATCTGTGACACGGGTATTCAGTGTGAAGATGGATGAACCAGACTCGGAGTGGGCCACATTGAGAAGGCACATTAGGAACCACACGGAGCCACTTCAAGTTCACAGCGAGGGCATCGTGGATGCCTTCCTGGTTCTGGTCAGAGCAGGACCGCTGCAGGGGAGGTAGAGGTTTGGACTCATCCCAATCAGTCCAGGAGAGCGGAAGAGTCAGCACAGCGAAACTGGTCCAGCTGTCTCCCAGCTCCAGGTCTGCTTCCCAAGCCCCTCGTCCCACCCACAACTGCAGCCACGCCCCTGAACCCCGGTGCCAGCCCTAAGCAGCTCCTCGGGCACTCCTCCTCTTCCGGGAGCTGGCCCTCTTCACCCTTCAACCTTCTTTCTTCTTGGGTCTGCTCTCTTTATTTTTCAGCCGTTAGCACAGTACAAAGTCTCGAGTTGAGAAAAGTCACCATCGTAAACAAGACACGGACTCCACTGTGCCAGAGACAGAGACAGATCTTCATCTTGAACCCCGTGAGGACCAGGCAAGCAGCCGGTGTCTGTGGGTGGAGGCCATTGTGGAAAGAAGGGACCCCAGGTCTAAGGCCAGGAATTCTCTTTCCGTGGGGGTGACTTTGGGAAACCAGGGGAACCTGGGATGAGAATCAGAGAAAGAACCTCTGGAACTGGCTCCAAGGACTTCCAGGTTCGCCGTGCAACGGCACACGAGTGAGAAGCGCTGGACTTGGTAACAGGCAGCTTATGCAAAAGGCTGGTGGGGCCACAAGCTACAGACTCACATCAGCCTCAAGAAACCAGGGCTGCCCATAAATCCCTTGCCCAGGAGTCACTGTGCCGGTGCCGGCTGAAGCTTCTTCCCATGGTTGTCACGACACCACACACCTCTCTTCTGCCTTTTGTGAAGTGGGTGGGCTACTTTGGATCAATCTTGAGGAACCAGCTTTGATCTGAGACACACTGGCTTTGACCTATACGTTTGTTGAGACTTCTCTTCCTTGGGGGATGGGGTAAGCCTTGGTGGCAGCAACAGCGCTGGAAGCACCTCCTACTTCCAGGAACGTGTCATTCGCCCAACAGACATCCGGAGTCTAGGGAGTACCCTCAAACCTAAGCACGGTGTGGGGGCGTCTGCCTGCTCAACCCTGGGCACAGCCCCCCCACTTCACAGTGGCCACAGCCATGTCCTAAGTCTTGGCCACCTTCCCTTCTCCTAGGTCAAAGGAGATTTTGTCCTTGTGGTCCAGACTGGAGTCAAATTTTGTGTCTTGTAATGGCCAGCCAGTGTGGTGACCTAAGACTCGTCCCCATGGCATCCCTGTGCCTGTGCCCCATCACTTGATGACCCTGAGCTGCGTTCCTCTTGCTTGGGGCTGGCGTCCACCCCTCAAGAAAGCAGCGCCACATCTCAGTTAGCACCGCTGGGTGCCCACTGACTCCATGAACTGGGCAGGGTGCGACCCAAGTGCTCTCAGCCACCTGAGGGCGGGGCATGCCGCGGGGGCCACGGGCAGTGGCAGGAAAGGACATTGGCCACACAGTATGTGGCTCTCATTAACAGAACACAAAACGCCCTTCTGCCCCCGAAGTTTTATGGCATCAGAGTGGGTGCAGAGAGGATATGGAAAAAAAGGCTGGAGGTTGCCAGCTTCTAGAACAGATCTTTCCGTTTTCTGCAAAGGCACTTGGTCGGGAACACAGCCGACAGAGAAAGAACGGGAGGAGTGGTGGTCAGGGCAATGCAGTAGGCAGCAGAACTCTGATTTCCGAGGAAGTGAAGAGGAAGAGTTGGGGGTGATGGAATGGCTTAGAATCCAATTACAGGGTCGGTGGGAGCTCTGCTCTTTCCACGTGTACAGTCTCATCAACAGACGCCCATCTCTCCCAGACACTGACCGACTGCTCTGCACTCCCTTGGGCATCAGGCATATGCGAAACTTAATGTCTTCCTTGGGCTTCAGGGCCCCCCGTACAGCTGCACAGAACATCGGTAGGAACAGGGTCCCTAGCACTGTGCAGTGCCAGGCTGCACAACTGTATGCAACAGTGCTGCATGGCCTCCACTCTCAACATGGCTTCTGCTTTGCATTGTGCACCACCCGGCCACTGTAGTCTCATACGGACCATAGGTCCCCGAGGGCAGGAAAATGAATTCTATCATTTCCCCTCTCCCCCGGTGCCTGACACTCAGCTGATGATTATTCCCCTAGTATCTCTGCAGGAGGCAGGGCTCTTCCGACTACCTCCAGGGAGAAAGCAGCCCCCTTTGGCCACCCCCTGGCCCTTTGGTCACCCTGACTCTCACCAGCTTCTAGTGCTCAGGCCTCTGCCTCCCTTCCCTTGAGACAAGTTCAACTCAAACACCAGGAAACTGTAAATATCGGAGACTTCAAGTTCATGTTCCCCCAGGGCCAGGTGTACATACGGTGTATTTCACACTCCCGAAGAGCGGCTTTCTCATGGCTGGGATGCAGGTGTGGGGCTCCTGTTACCTAACCTTTGTCTATGCAGGATTCCAGACTCCTCCAAAGCCACTGTTGGAGAGGTCTCACTTTCTGGTAGCTCATTACACCAAGCTAAAATCTGCCCCACACCCGTCCCACCGGGGATCACACCCTGGTCCCTGTTCTCTGTGGAGCTCCCTGCACTAGGCCCGGGCGCCTGTCTCAGCGATGGGACACTACAGAACCCATCCTGCCCCAAGGCCCTGTGGGCTCTAAGCCTGCCAAGAGGAAGCTGGGTCTGTGAAGGTCCCGCCCCTGCAGCTGGGATGCAAGCAGCAAGGCCCAGCGCTGTCCAGCCTGCTGCTGCTGCACACCCCGAGCCTGGCTCCCAGCCTGAGACGAGGCCCGGTACAAAGGCGGGGAAGCCAGAAAGATCGGCTGTGCGTCCCAGCTTTCTGCTCATGTCCCCAACAATGGGGCTCCCAGTGGCACAAACTCATCTCCGTGGCCAGTTCCCTCCAGGCTCCTGAGGGCCCATCTGCTGTCCCAGCAGGTCCTCCTTCCTTTGGAGGGAAGCACTGCAGGGGCACCCACCAGCCCAGGTGTGGGGATAAGACAAGGGTTTCCCCAGCACAGGCACAAAGGATCCTCTCCTGGAGGCCAGCAACACCACCTGCCCCGACCCTGGCCCACAGCTCCATGGACTTCACTGCCTACATCCAAGAACCAACGGTAACACTCAGCTTCTTTTACTCCTGGGCTTTGGGGACAAATGGTAACCCATGGAGGATCCCATATTGGAAAGAGTGCCAGTTCCAGGCCTGGCTGCTCCACTTCCAATCCAGCCCCCTCCTGATGTGCCTGGGAAGGCAGCGGAGGATGGCCCCAGAACCTGGCCCTCTGCACCCATGTGGGAAGCCTAGAGGAAGCTCCTGTCTCCTGGCTTTGGATCTGCCCAGCTACAGCTGTTGCAGCAGATGGAAGACCTCTCTGCCTCTACCTCTATCTGTAACTCTTTCAAATGAATCTTTTTTTTTTTAAAAGATTTTATTTATTTGAAAGAGTTACACAGAGAGGAGAGGCAGAGATAGGTTTTTTGTTTGTTTGTTTGTTTGTTTTACAGGCAGAGTGGACAGTGAGAGAGAGACAGAGAGAAAGGTCTTCCTTTTGCCGTTGGTTCACCCTCCAATGGCTGCCGCGGCCGGACTGCTGCAGCCAGCGCACCGCGCTGAGCCGAAGACAGGAGCCAGGTGCTTCTCCTGGTCTCCCATGGGGTGCAGGGCCCAAGCACTTGGGCCATCCTCCACTGCCTTCCTGGGCCACAGCAGAGAGCTGACCTGGAAGAGGGGCAACCGGGACAGAATCTGGCACCCCGACTGGGACTAGAACCCGGTGTGCCGGCGCCACAAGGCGGAGGATTAGCCTATTGAGCCGCGGCGCTGGCCAAGATAGGTCTTCCATCCGCTGGTTCACTCCCCATTTGGCCGCAATGGCTGGAGCTGCGCCGATCCAAAGCCAGGAGCAAGGAGCTTCTTCTGGGTCTCCCATGTGGGTGCAGGGGCCTAAGGACTCGGGCCATCTTCTACTGCTTTCCCAGGCCATAGCAGAGAGCTGAATGGGAAGTGGAGCAGCCAGGACTTGAACTGGTGCCCATATGGGAAGCCAGCACTGCAGGTGGCAGCTTTACCCACTATGCCACAGCACCAGCCCCTCAGATAAATCTTTAAAAAAAAAAAACCACATATACACACACACACACACACACACACACACACACACACAGAGAAAAGGCTGCACCAGAACAGAGGCTGCAGGAAGGTGCAGGGCTGGACTCCAGCTCATGCAGGTCCTGGCTGGGTCCCCAGGCACAGAGCACCTGTAGAGCAGGTTCAACACAGGGCAAAGGGGAGAGATAAGCCCTCTGTCCCTGGTAAAAGGAGAGTGTGAGTGGTACCCAGGACACAGAGGTCAGGGAATTGGGGGGAGGCAGGACAGGCCAGGCAGATAAGGCCCTGAGCTCTCCCCCCTCTGAGGCCACAACCAGAGAAACAGCTCTGTTCATTGCATAATCCTTCTATTTGCCCAGAGCTACATTTTGTCCAGAAAACACTTTGACCGGGGAGGCGATTCAAGAAGGCATCCCAGCCAGGACAGAGCGAGGAGAGAACCAGGGTGGTCCTGCCGCGGCCCACGGGAGGATGGAGGCGCACAACGAGTCCGCCCCCTTCAACTTCACGCTGCCGCCCAACTTCGGCAAGCGCCCCACCGACCTGGCGCTCAGCGTCATCCTGGTGATCATGCTGCTCACCATCATGCTCTCGCTGGGCTGCACCATGGAGTTCAGCAAGATCAAGGCTCACTTCCTGAAGCCCAAGGGGCTGGCCATCGCCCTGGTGGCCCAGTATGGCATCATGCCGCTCACCGCCTTCGTGCTGGGCAAGGTCTTCCGGATGAACAACATTGAAGCCTTGGCCATCTTGGTCTGTGGCTGCTCACCCGGGGGGAACATGTCCAATCTCTTCAGTCTGGCCGTGAAAGGGGACATGAACCTCAGGTAGGATGGGGGTGGGGAGGGTGCGTGCTGCCACAGGGGCTGCTGGGGAGACAGCGCGTTTGAGGGAAACAGCTGCACTGAGGCCTGCAGACAAGGCCAGGGGGCAGGGGTGCCGGGTGGACACCCGGGCAAGGTGGCAGCTGGATTTACTGGCAAGAGATTTTATGCTGAGCAGGGGCTGGGGGATGTCTCTAAGAAACAAGCCAAAGGGGCCAAAGTGGTCCAGGGGCAGTATCCTGTCCAGTCCCTAGCCCCCAGAGGCATCTCAGGTGGGGCACAAGGATCGTCTTAAGGGGACATTCAGGGCACGCGGGGGCCAGGTTGTCAGCTTTGAGGCCAGGGATGAGAAAGGAGATACAACTGGTTGCAAACAGGGAGATAAACACGACTTGGAACCAGCAAGCACCTCCAATGCCTACAGAACAGGCAAGCAGCCCCAACAGGCCTCTGAGGAGTCTCGGCATCTGGGATGTCTGCTCCTTAACGTCCCTCTTCCTGCTAGCAGATGCAGCAACTCTCTCACGCAAAGGTACAACCAGGTGACTCCTAGCACCTGTCCAGGTTATGCTGGGCCCCCACCTCAGCCAAACAGGTAGGAGCAAATCCAGCAGCATCCCTCCCGCCCCCGCACCAAGCATCCAGCGGAACGAACAAGGGATCGCTCCTGGGAGCCAGAACCCTTCCAAGCAGGGGGGACCCTGGCTCTGAATGCCCCAGAGGACAATGCAGACCTGCTCCAACCACCTGCAGAAGTCCTTGCATTATTTAAGTCTCTCTCTCAAGCCAGTTTCCTCTGGGTTAGTGTGCAGTGGTGATGCCTTCTACGCCTGACGACTGCACAATTCAGAGTCCGCGTGCTTGGGCCTGCAGCCTCTGGCCCTGCTGACCTCCACTAAGAAAACCAACCAGTACAGAAGCCCCTCCTGGTGATGCCAAGTAACACTGGAACAGGTGTTTTTTCCTTTAAAAAAATTTATCTAAATATCTAAAGAGTTAGAGAAGGGGAGGAAGAGAGAGAGGAGAGAGAATCTTCCCCAGTCTGGTTCACTCTCCAGATGGCCACAATGGCCATGGCTGGGCCAGAAGGAAGCCAGGAGCCAGGTGCTTCTTCCAGTTCTGTCACATGGATGGCAGGGGCATAAACACTTGGCCCTGTTTTTCCTCCGCTGCTTTTCCCATGCCATTAGCAGGGGGCTGGATTGGAAATGGACCAGCCAGGACACAAAACCATACGGGATGCCGGCTTCACAGGCGGCGGCTCTACCCACTGCACCGCAGTACTGGCCCAGATTTTTAAGAGAAACTGGAGGGCGAGCTGGGGCTTGTCAGGACCTGACACCTGCAAGGCACTGGGCTCTCAGTCCCCGGGAGTCCACCCTCAGAGGGGCTGCCCACAGCCGGAGGCAGGATGAAGGACTTGGCTTGCGCAGTCTCTCCTGGGAAAATGCTTTAATGTTCAACCACCTCCCAGGCAGGAAATTCTTCCCCCATCTAAGCTAAATCCTTCTTGCTGCAAAACCAGCCCTAGGTCACTGATCTGACCTGTGGTCAAGGTTTGTCAAGTGCCCTCTGTCCCAAGAAAGCCAGCCGCTCTCTAAATTCTGGTGTAGAAGAATGCTGAGGGTAGGGTGTGAGGGAAAGGGTAAGCTAAGGCTTTGTGTACCTGCAGCAGCAGCAGCAGAGCCTCGGGGACAACGAGGGGGGCTGGGCTTAAGTGTGGGTGACCAGATACCACAGTGGGCGCTAACGAGGCCTCTCCAACAGCACCTACATTTCTGTGGTTCTAAGCCCCACCCCAGGGCTGAGCCTGAACACGACCCTGGTGCTCTCCTCCTCCAGAACCTCTCTGTCCACATACCTGGGAGCTGCCTCTCCCCAGGCCTCACCAGAGATTTTCACTCTACTGGGACAGCCACCTTCCCCAAGCTCCCGTGCCTCACACTCCAGGGACAGGGTGTGAATCTCGTCCTCTACCATCCTGTGCCGCCAGAGGCTTGCTACATGCGTTATAATGAGAACAGCACTGGTAAGAAACAGCTAGCTGCGGCCCTAAACACCTGCCCTGGCTAAGTGAGCCGCCTGGCAGGAGGTGCCACAAGGAGCCTTAGTTCAAGATGCTGAAACTGAGCCCGAGAGACTGTGCTTAATGTCGGAGCAGCTCCAGGGCCTGTACTTACTCTAGTACCTTCAGGGCCAGCACGTCCAAGAGTAGAGGGCTGGAGGCAGATGCCCCTTTGGGGGTAGGAGGGGCAGGGCCCACAGCTATCACAGCTTCCTGTGAAATCTCTGAATTGTTAAACATTGAAAAGATTGCTAAGTAGCTCCCAGGCCCCAGTTTGCATGCATATTTTACGCAAGTCACTCTCCAACACCCCTTTTAAAGCCGGAGGAAATCCGTAAGACCCGGATTTTATACTTGAACTTTGGGGAAGTCCAAAGCCACCTACTTTGCCTCCCAGTTGGAGTGAGGCTGGGGCAGCCATCATAGGAAGCTGTCACCTAAACCAAGCAGAGCAGCTCCTGCCTCGAAGATGCCACTAGACAAGCTCCAAAACCTGCATGAGACACACAGGCAAGAGAAGTGCCCTCCAAAGCGGAGCGAGTGTAGCTTGTTGGGGACACGCGGAAGGTTGCCTCCCACGCTCACCTGCTCCCCACACCTTACCAGGCCACAGCAGAGACCACAGCCAGTGGCCATGGGGACCACAGACAATCCAAGGCGTCCCCCAGGTCTCTCCACCATAATGTAGAAACCCTAAGCAGAAGGAGATGGAAGCCACCCAGAAGTCGCCCACTTCAGAGACCCTGAGGTCTTCCCTCGCAGCTCTCTCTGCGTCTGCCTCCAATCGCCAGAGACCCAAGAGCTGCCCCTCAAACAAGGTGTACGGATATCCAAAGGCAAGAGTCCACGCAATGCTCTCAGAGCTCGAGGACGAAGAAAAAATACAAAATGTGCCCCTTCCCCCAGAGGCAGCCAGACCCCTATGTTACCACAGTTCCAGTCTTGAACTTTCCCATCCCTGTCCCCCAGGGTAAACAGGGTAAACTAAGGATCACAGCAGTCTCAGAAACAGCAGGTTAGGACCTGGGGTTCCTGGACCAGCCTCCAGCCCCTGCACTCATGGCAGCAGCACCTGGGTGTCTGGGAACATGGCTCCCACATACCCAAGTAGACGAGGCGCAGAGTCCCAGAGCAAACTCCAAAAATTCTCACACCAAGCCTAGGTCAGCAGGACTTCTCTGCTTTAAGTTACCACCCAAGCCGACTTTTCCCCTAGGAAGAAACAGCTGGCCCTATCTCATTCCCCTCCACCATACCCCGAAGAAAGCACCTCCCAGAAATTCATGTTCATCACTTCCAGCATATCCAAACAATAAACTGCCCTATTTCATGTTGTATCATTTCACAAGTTTTTGATGGGCATGTAACTAAAACGTCACACATCTGAACTGCTGTAGTTTGCTGTTATTTATCCATGGCTCTGTGGTCAGCTATTTCTGAGAGTTTCACGTTTTGGTTCTGTCTTGTTCATGGTCCACTGGGGTCACATGTGACAGCATATATGGTCAAAGCAAGACTGCTGGGGCCTTCATTGTTATAGTTGGTTAAGCCACTACCTGCAAAGCAGGTATTCCAAATCAGAGCACTCCTTCAAGCTCCAAGCTTAGTGCCTGAGAAGGGAGATGGTGACCCACACACAAAGGCCCGGCCACCCATGTGGGATGGAGTTCCGGGCTCTTGGCTTCGGCCTGGCCCAGCTCTGGAGGTTACTGCCATTTGGGGAGTTCACAGCTTTAAATTTGGTTTCACGGGAGATCCGGAACCTCGATATGTGTATTAGCCATCTGAGAATCCTCTTCTGAGCAACTTTGTCCTTCACCTGTTTTTTGAGATTGCTGATTTGGGCTTTTTATTATTGATTTGCAAAATTGTTTACCTATGTTGCAACAACCTACTCAGTTTGGAGCCTGTCTTTACCCCTTGATAAAATGTCATGATTTGCCAGCATTTTTGCAGATGATTTGTCTTGCAGTTATTATGAAACCTGTTACTGCTGGCAAGGTTACAAAGTTTTTCTGTATTTTCTTTCAAAAAGTTTTCAATGTTTGATTTTCATGGAGATCAACCCAGTTTATTTTTTATGTGTGGTTTTATCTTTTCAAAGAAATTCCCAGCACCACTCAATCTGTAGTTAACTTGAAATGCCACACCTCTCAAGAACCGAGCATGCGTGAGCTCTCACCTATGACTGACTCATCTTTAGCTCTTCTTGCACGAGCAAGTTTTCCTAAGGAGACCAGATATCTGAAGGGTCAAGTCCCCCTACTTTGTTCTTTTTGAAAATTATTTCGCTACTTAGTACTTTACTTTCAATTAAATTTTTTTAGGACTTTTAAAAGTTTTTATTTATTTGAGAGAGCCAGAGTTACAAAGAGGGACAGAGCAAAAGTCTTCCATCTGCTGGTTCACTCCCCAGATGCCTGCAACAGCTGGAGCTGAGCCCACCCAAAGCCAGGAGCCAGGAGCTTCTTCTGGGTCTCCCACATGGGTGCAGGGGCAGAAAGCCTTGGGTCATCTTCCTCTGCTCTCCCAGGCCATACAGAGAGCTGGATCGGAAAAGGAGCAGCCAGGACTAGAACCAGCACCCACATGGGATTCTTAGCCTGCTGAGCCACAGCGCCGGCCTTCAGTTGTCCTAGGGCAGAGAAGTCCTGCTGACCTAGGCTTGGTGTGAGAATTTTTGGAGTTTGCTCTGGGACTCCGTGCACCTCGTCTACTTGGGTATGTGGGAGCCATGTTCCCAGACACCCAGGTGCTGCTGCCATGTGTGCAGGGGCTGGAGGCTGGTCCAGGGACCCCAGGTCCTAACCTGCTGTTTCTGAGACTGCTGTGATCCTTAGTTTACCCTGGGGGACAGGGATGGGAAAGTTCAAGACTGGAACTGTGGTAACATAGGGGTCTGGCTGCCTCTGGGGGAAAGGGTACAGTTCTTATTTTTTCTTCCTTGAGCTCTAAGAAGATTACATGGACTGCCTGATGGAGGCTTTCAAGTCTACAAAAAATACTTCACTGACATCTACACAGGCTTAAGAGATGATTTCCGTAAGGCTGTCTTCCCATCCATGAGTACAGTATACTCTCATGTGGCTCCAACAGCTGGGGCTGGGAGTCAGGAGCTCCTGGATCTCCCACGTGGGTGTAGGGGCCCAAGCAATCTGGCCATGTTCTGCTGCTCTCCCAGGCACGTTAGTAGTGAGCTGGATCAGAAATGGAGCAGCCAGGTCTCAAACCGCCACCCACATGGGATGCCAGAGTCACAGGCTGCAGCTTTACCCACAATACCCACTCCTCTGTTAAGTTCTATACTTCCTTCCATAAGTCTTTTAAATATATTTGTAAGTATTTTTTAGTTCTATGAATGTTAGGTTGTATCTTTAAAAGGAAATCCACTTGTAAATTATTTGTTTCTAGAATGTTACCCAATTATTTTTTAATGTATTTAGAACTTCAAGGATTCTCTTGTTACAAATCACTTGGATCACCTCTGTGGACAATATTATTGGCAAAAACTGAAAGTTCAGCTTCCTCTCTTCTATCCCTATATTTTCCTATTTTTTGTTTTGCTGTGCCAGTGAGGGCCCATGTATCAAACAGCTCATAAACAAGTGACATTACCCTTGGCTTATTCCTCTTTTAAAGAAAATCCTTCTAATTTTTCACCATGAAGTTTACAATTTGCTGTAAATTCTTCATATCTTTTTCAGATTTAGGAATCCAGTCGGTCGCTGGCATGATTTTTTTTTTTTTTTTTTTGAAAGGCAGAGTGGACAGTGAGAGAGACAGAGAGAGAAAGGTCTTCCTTTGCCGTTGGTTCACCCTCCAATGGCCGCCGCAGCCGGCGCGCTGCAGCCGGCACACCGCGCCGATCCGATGGCAGGAGCCAGGTACTTATCCTGGTCTCCCATGGGGTGCAGGGCCCAAGCACTTGGGCCATCCTCCACTACACTCCCTGGCCACAGCAGAGAGCTGGCCTGGAAGAGGGGCAACCAGGACAGAATCCGGCACCCTGACTGGGACTAGAAACCGGTGTGCCGGCGCCGCAAGGCGGAGGATTAGCCTAGTGAGCCGCGGCCCCAGCCAGCATGCTTGATTTTTATGTCAGCACACTGAATCTTGGTGACTTTTTCATCATCAAGCTTTTCTTAAACTGGTTAACTATCGCTGCCTCCTTCACTGCTCTATCATCATGGTCCTTCAACTACTCCCCATTGCTACTCTCTGCTGCTGTTTCTACGGTCCTAACTGTGGCCTCTACTGACTTCCCTGTCTTGTTTTTTTAACCTTCTGCCTGCCGGTAAGTGCCATATTATCCATTCCCCGAGACCAAGTGCTGTCACTGTGTCTCATATTATCTCAGTTGAACAAAGCTGCTACACCCAGACAGTCCCCAGGCTCTACGCCAGACATTCACAAGTGTGAGCCAAGTGCTCTTCCTGGATCACAGTCAGGGTCTGGGAGCTCACCTTCCTCCAGAATCGGCTGTGTGTACAGCACAGCTCAAAGGAGAAAGAGTAGATCATAGTGGTTCCTTCCGCAACAAAGCACAAAGAACTGAAGCGGCTGCACAGTTCTGGATGCAAATCTTGTCTCAGTCAGTACCTGAGTGATCTGGACCAACTCACAACTCCTCTAGTGATCAACTTCACAGCAAAAACAGAAAAAAGAAAAATACCGGAGGCTACTGGCAAAGAAAATGAAGCAATGAGCATGCAGCACTTAGCAGTGCCTAGTACACAGCAGGCACCTACAAAACAGTGTGGTAACGGGCGCTCTCTCCACTCTTCCCTGTTTCCACCCAGCATCGTGATGACCACCTGCTCCACCTTCTTAGCCCTGGGGATGATGCCTCTCCTCCTGTACATCTACAGCAGGGGCATCTATGAAGGGGACCTGAAGGACAAGGTGCCCTATGGAGGCATCATGATATCACTGGTCATGATTCTCATTCCTTGCACCATAGGGATCATCCTCAAATCCAAACGGCCACAGTATGTACCGTATGTCATCAAGGTAAGAACCCTGGGGCCTATCTTAGTGAGCAAACTGGGCAGGGAGCAAGAACACCACCACCATCTCAACGTATGGTTGGAGTAAGTTGGAGTAAGTCATTTGCATTTTCTGTGTCCATTTCCTGACTTTCTTTTTTAAAAAGGTCTGCTATTGGTACACCTACTACTTTGTGGGATCATACTGAACAGGAGGGTGCTTTTGAAAAGCTAGAAAAAATTTAAAATGCCAACTGTAGGTATAACCAATATTTTCAGAATAAAAATATTATGCTCCTACTAGATGCTAAGGTCACGCCATGGACTCCCAGCACTCACTTTCCTCTGAGTCAAGAATCTGCACAAAGTGAAAGAGCCCATCCGAGACTAAGACCAACAACAGCGTACAAGGAGGTTTTGACAGAATCAAGGAGAGACCAGTAAGGGTGGGGAGTGTCAGGAGGCTTCTTGGAAGGGAGGGGCCTGAGCTAAACCAGGAACACAGGGTAAGACCCGGTGAGCCTGGGCTGAAGTTCAGAGGACAAGTTCACGGACTAGACAAGAAAAGGAAGAGACCAGGGGTGCAGCAGTGTACAGCTGATGGGAGGCGGGTGAAGAGGTAAGGTCACAGGTGGTGTGGAAGAGCACAAAGCATCATGCCACCGCCTCACTCAGAGAAATCCCAGACCCCTGGCGTGCAGTCTGCTTCCTCCACCAACTTCTCTGCCCTTGGAGCTCAGTCCCTGTCAGCCTCACTGTTCATCTTGGTCCTCAGAACTTTGCACTCGCTGTCATCTCTGTCTCCCAGGATGTTTGTCTTCAGCCTGTCCACATGGCATGCTGCTTGCAAGTCCGAGGTTTGCCAACAGTTTAAGATCCGGGACAAAGCAGTTCCACGTTTGCAGCAGTTTGTTTCTGTCCTTGCCCAGTCCCAGTACCATGGCTACAGTTCCCTTCTCCATCTGTTCTAAGACATGGAAAGGTCACTCCCCCTATGCACAGCGGATCACTCCCACATCAGCCCTGGGTTTTATCTCCCACTCTCCCCACCTTGCTCCTCAGAGACCTTTTATTGACTATGCCCCTCCTGCAGCAGCCTTTCTCCTCTTGCTCTAAAACACCTCTGCACTGTCTCTGCAGATCAGCACTGCTAAGTTCACGTCTCCCCTACCATTAACAAAATAACCAATCACCAGGATTTGTTGTGGGATCCACCTCCCCTTGCTAGGCAGGCTTCAGAGAAACTCCCTTCCCCATCAACCCACTTCCTTTCCAACACCTTTGTACCTCCACCACACTGCCTGTCTAACTCCTGAGCGACCCGGCCCTTAACAATCGATCTCAGTTATCTGAGCTGCCCCCTCCTCCACTTTCCCCTCTTGGTGTCCCATTCACGCAGCATCTTAGTCACCCCCTCCCAACTCCAATGGACATTTCTCGACACCTCTTTGACCTTTTACCAGTGTTACATGCGGGACCACTGTCTCCTTCCTAAAAGCTTCTCCTTCAACTTCAGGCTCCCCACCCTCCTACCGCCTCTCCCACTTTTCTCTCTCTTGTGAGTTAATTCTGTCCATTCATTCAGTCCAACCTTTCTGCTTTCCTGGACTTCTCTCACCCACCAGATCCTCCACAAGATCTCATCCACCTCAGGCCTGCGAACACCATCTGCAAGCTGACTTCCCAATGTCTATATTAACTGCCACATCTCTCTACATGAATACACCACAGGCATTTAAAACCCATTTAAAATTATAATCACCACCTCCCCAGCCTGCTCCTCCCTCCTCCAGTGACCACCTTCGAGAGTGGCATTCTGTACCTGATCACCTGAGCCAGCTCCAGGGTTGCTGTCAAGGTCCCCTCTCCCTCCCCACTCACACCCACCCTGCACTATCTTCATTCAGACCTCCACCTTCTCTTACCAGACAACTCAAACAGCCTGCTAACCTTGTTCTCTGATCCACTTCTACCCTGAGAACAGAGATGTGGAGTACAGTCTACCCTGCCGCTCCACTGGTTCCTTGCTCCCCTCCAGGCTAAACATTAACCACCTCACTGTGGCTGCTCAGGCCTTTCTTTAGTCTGAACTGATCCTCCAGTCACGGCTTTTTAATTTGGGCATGCCCTTCCCTTACCCTAGAACACTCTCCTTCCCAATTCCCACCCCACTAACCACCTTCCCCTGGGCTCACTCCCTTCAGGTCTGAACACAAACAGCACCTTCTCCAGGAAGCCTTCTTTGACCCTGCCAACCAAACCCGGGCAGGACACCGACTCTATTCACTCCTACAGTACACAACATCTACTAACACTTGCAGTTATCACACTGTAAAACACGTGTTTCTATTCCCTACTTGTACCCACGCTGTCCCTTGCTAAACCTGTTAAACCACCACAAGGTCAGCAGCTCTGTTTTATAATACATTTCCAACTGCTATCACTCCAGTGAGGAAGCAAATACAAATAAGTGGGCCAAAACGCACTTTGTTATTACAGCTTCAAGTTCTGTGTTCATCCTTCAACACCCTGTTGCACAAGAAACAGAGCAGGAAGTTGAAAAACGAACAAATGGATTGTGTAGCCTCTGCATATTAATCCTCTTAAGACTTTTCAAATCAAAGCAATCCAACTTTCAATAACTAGCCCACCTCATGGGTCACTGGCATGCTGATAGGTGATACTACCCAGGGCTACTTGTCTCAGCAAGAGGTTGTGAATTTAATTCCTCTAGTAGCACAGTTAAGAATGGGAGGAAACTCTGCAAATCGTCTTTAACTACGAGCAATCATAGGCGCTACAACTTAGTGATTCTTAGATGCTAGATTCTGGGCCATCAACCTCAGGAAAGCTGAGTGATTCACCGAAGTTCAGATACCAGAAACTGGCAGAGCCTGCTGTCACACCTGGACCACAGAATCTGGGCTCATACCCACCACTCTGCAGCCACAGGGTGGGGGACACCAAGAGTGAGCATGAATACCCACACACAGGAGATGGCTTCTGGATTTGTAGGCAACTCCTGCTAACCAATGTCCCATGTATGACCCATCAAACGCAAAAGGTGAAATCCATCCAAAATGCAGGGAAACTAGTTGTCTTTCAATCAAACTTTAAGCACGTGGCTTACAGTCACAACTGTAAAAAGTCCTTAGTCCTGGGCTAAGACCACAAATTGGTACAGGTGTTCACATCAGTTACAACACGCATTAAAACAGAAATGCAAACCTGCCCTGCTAAAATTTGAGCAATATAAATGCTAGTGTTCCCAGGACAACACTGTACATGTACTTAATGTCACTGAATTACGCACTTAAAATTCAAATGGCAATTTTTCACTACAAATTTTTAAAATGTTCCCAAAAATATAAAATGTAATAAATTGAGTGAGCTGGAAACTGAATCAACCCATAAACGCATAATAACCATGAAGCTAGCACAGGAACACAGCAGGTTAAGTCACCATTTGCAACACCAGCATCCCATGAGCACCAGGTCGAATCCTGAATGCTCCACTTCCAATCCAGCTCCCTACTAATGCACCTGGGAAGGCAGCAGATGATAGCCCAATTGCTTGGGGCCCTGCCACTCACATTGGCGACCCAGATGGAGTTCCAGGGTACTGGCTTCAGCCTGGCCCAGCCCTGGCTGTTTTATTGATTTGGGGAGTGAACCAATGAATGGAAGGTAGCTTTCATTCTGCCTTTCAAATGAATAAAACCAATCTTTAAAAAAGAAACAATGCAATATTTGCTATACTTCTTCATTCAAGATGAAAAGGACAAGCCCTAAGACAAGCATACATGTTACCAGTTTGGAGTACATCACTTTCTACAATGCCCTTCTGAAAGTGCATGGATGTGCATTTTCAAAGCTAGCATCCTTACGTTATACAGTAACACCTGATACCTAACTTTTAAATGTTAATGCAACCATGACCTTTTAAAAACTTCAGCTATTTTAGAGGCTGACAAAAATGAGCTACCAACTGCTGGCTCTTTTTCCCAGATGCCCACATTGGTCAGGACTTGGCTAGGCCAGGCCAAGATCTGGAAACTCAATCCAGGTTTGATAGCAGGTACCAAACCACTTAAGCCATCACTGCTGCCTTGCAGGGTGTGTATTAGCAGGAAGCTGGAGTCAGGAGCCAGCACCATTCATCAAACCCAGGCACCCTGGTGTAGGACATGGATGTCTTAACTAGTAGGCCAAATGACCACTCCTCCACACCCACACCCACTGTTCCCAGCATTTACCTGGAATAGAGCAGACCCACAGTTCTGCTACTGTTGTTTTCAACTAATTTGAAAGGCAAAGATTAGGAGTGGGGTGGAGAAACAGCATCTTCCCACCACTTGTTGGTTCACTCTGGGATGCTGGCCACAACACTAAGCTAGGTCAGGCCAAAGCCAAGAGCCAGGAATTCAAACCATGTCTCCTAAGGGATGGCAGGGTCCCAAGCACTTGAGCCATCACCTGCTCCTGGTTGTGCATCAGCAGGAAGCCAGAATTAGAAATGTAACCGAGACTCAAGCTAGGCACTGCTGATTGCAGATGTCTAAGTGACATCTCAACTGCTTATGCCAAATGCCTGCCCAGGCCTTTAAGTTTCTAATAATGCTATTACTACAGCACGTTTTTCAAACTCCAGGAACTTTAATATCTGATTTGCAGGTCACTCAGGTAGGCTTGCCACTTTATGACTGCGATCATTTTGGGCCTAAAATTGTATTATCTGGTTGAATCATCCACTTTGCTTACTAGCTTCACTTCAAATGACCCAGAAATTCCCAGAAATTAAATTCATCCTAAAATAAAGTCCTTACCCTAAGATTTTAGACAATATGTGAAGTTCCACTGAGTCGAAATACTTGGAATGACAGCATTGTAGAAATGTGTAGAAAGCCTCCAAAAATGACTATTTACAACCACTTCACGGAGCCTGAGCAGTCTCACTCCTTCCAAACCACAGCACTTCATTGACAACCTGCTATCCAGGCATGAGGCACGTCACACGCACCTGCACTTGACCAAGCTTTCAGTAGTGGCTCCCACGTTCCCTTCCACTTCAGATACCAACGACTTAGTGTGCATCCCACCTCCCAGCCCCAACCCTCTCCCCGCTCTCCCTATCCCCCCTAACCTTTCTGACTGCCCTCTTGTCCTCATGCCCAGGTGGGGATAATCATCACTTTCTCCATCAGCATAGCGGTTGCTGTCCTCTCTGCCATCAATGTGGGCAACAGCATCATGTATGTCATGACACCGTATTTTCTGACCATCTCTGCCCTGATGCCTTTTATTGGCTTCCTGCTGGGCTTCATTCTCTCTGCTCTCTTCCGCCTTAGTGCACGGTAGGTATTACTTTCCAAGTCCCCCCATCCCATCTTTGTGCTATATCCCCTTCAGAGTCTAGACTCCATCTACTGAAGAGCTGGGTTTCTCTCACCTACAGGTGCAGCCGCACCATCAGCATGGAGACCGGATTTCAAAATGTTCAACTCTGTTCTACCATCCTCAATGTGACCTTTGCCCCTGAAGTCATTGGACCGCTTTTCTTCTTTCCTCTCCTCTACATGATTTTCCAGCTCGCAGAAGGGCTTCTCATCATCGCTGTTTTTCGGTGCTATGAGAAAATCAAGCCTTCCGAAGGCAAGTACTCAATCATTCCTTTCCAAGTTCTCTTCCCAGTACGAGACCAGAGACTGACATTTTTTAGCAGTCTTTTTGGATGGGGCTTTCATTCTTAGTAAGTCACTAGTAAACAAGAGAGCAGCAAGAAATACCCAAGCCATCTTCAACAGCCAAAACTATCCTTATCAATTAAAATTCTATTTCTGCCTTCTAGCTCAGAGTCAAACTTCCATTAGTGGATGGAGTTTGCCTCATAGGTCTGAGGTTACCTGGACCACTTTGTCCAAGTGGAGAGCCCATTTAAAAGGAAACCATGAGCATTAGACAGTTGAGATACTACTTTTGTAAAAACAATTTCTCTTCTACTTGCCAAAGTTCATCAAGATTCTGGGCTTTTGAGGACTAGGATCTTGAGCCCTGAAACCATGGGCATATTAAAGCAATGCAGCTCAATATAACCCAGAATCCAGCGTATTCCTCAACTCTGGCCACACAGTAAATTAAGCATGAGTCTGCTAAACAGTGACTGCTGCGCAGTAAGCTCAATTCTATTTCTGGTTCACTCCTGATTACCACTAGGCTGACACAGACCTTTCCAAAAATGTTCACAGCACTCACCTCAAAAACCTATCAAGCCGGCGCCGCGGCTCAGTAGGCTAATCCTCCGCCTAGCGGCGCCGGCACACCGGGTTCTAGTCCCAGTCGGGGCGCCGGATTCTGTCCCGGTTGCCCCTCTTCCAGGCCAGCCCTCTGCTATGGCCAGGGAGTGCAGTGGAGGATGGCCCAGGTGCTTGGGCCCTGCACCCCATGGGAGACCAGGAAAAGCACCTGGCTCCTGGCTCCTGCCATCGGATCAGCGCGGTGCGCCGGCCGCAGCGCGCCGGCCGCGGCGGCCATTGGAGGGTGAACCAACGGCAAAGGAAGACCTTTCTCTCTGTCTCTCTCTCTCACTGTCCACTCTGCCTGTCAAAAAATAAAAAAAAAATTAAAAAAAAAAAAAACCTATCAAACCTCAGCCACATCTCGAATTCCCCCCTCAAAGTGCCCTGTAACCCTAATTCTTTTTCTTCAGGAAACTACTTTATAATACATTTCCATAATTTCTAACTCTGGATGGACACCAGCTTGTTCCTAACTGCCTTTCAACTGTCCCTTCTCATGAACTTCAGGGCCTCTTCAACACCTTTCTAGACTCTTACTCCCCTAAGAAAAATACAGAACTTTTCCTAATAAAATCTATTACATTCTATTAACAAATTCACCCTCTCTCACTTTGCAGTAAGTACAATATAATCTTACCTAGTAGCCAAAAGAAATCCATTTTATAAGCTTTGATTCAAAACTACAGAATTTTAGGCAAGAATTTAAGCCCCACAGTTACCAGAATAACTCAAAAGAGATTCAATGTCCAATAAAGTTGCCATCCTCTTAGGGGAAAAAAGGAGTAGGGTTGTGCACGTGAAGGCGTTCCTCGAAGAACCACCAACCACGTTCTCGGGCCTAGAGTGCCCCCCAGGAACAATCTCCCAGATCTTTAGCTCTCAAGACCTAAGGAGAAAAATTTCCTCACGATCCACCTCAGAAGACCCCAGCAGCAATAAGAAGTCACAGCAACCTATCTCTGGAGCTCAGAATCCCGGTTTGTTGTCAGAATAAAGCAGCTGTGCTTTGGGTCCTAGAGATGGAACCCGGAGGGCAGACTCCCTTCTGCAAAGCTGCCCACCCCTTCATGAGCAGGAAACTGCACAGGAAGACGTGTTGGGGATGGCTGGACACTGCTTGGCTAGACACCTCCCCAAGCTCTTTCCTTCCTGGTGCCCTCCATACCACCCCCAGAATGCAAGCCATCCTTCCTTACACTAATCTGTCTCCCCTACTTTCTTAGTGTACTTAAAAATTGGTGGGGGAATATCTAAGACTCATTATTCTGCTAATTTATTTCTTATTTCTAGTACTAACAGCTTGAGTGAATCATAGGCGGGGTAAGAGATAGAACTATACATATGGCACTGCAGCAGTAAGTGGGTATTCTTTTATTCTTCATATGGAATTTTCTATTCAATGTTATTCTCCCCGCCTTTAATCCTTTTTAACTTTTCAGACAAAACAAAAATAATCTACAAAGCTGCCACAACTGAAGAAATTCCAGGAAATCTGGGAAATGGCACCACCAAAGGAGAGGAGTGCTCCCCGGGCACAGCCTAGTCTTTCCCCTGGTGGCCTGGACTCTGGTCAGACTGCAATTCAGAAAAACGCGGTGGTTAAATGCAGAGCAAAAACAAAAGGAACAGCTGTCTTGTCAGTTTTTCCCAGCACTCCAGTGTATGGCACCAATCAAGCCTTACCCTGGAGGACAATCTCCCCTCAAAGCATCACCTATCCCCCCACCACAGGTAGATCCTAATACTTATTAAAAATGACTTGCTCTGTGACTGCAAACTCTATGAAGGCAGAGACCCAATTTGTCTTTTGCCTCTGAATCTCCAGAACCACTCAGTCATTTAGTTACTGAACTGACAAATGGGTGATTTATCCATTAATCAAACACCCAAATCATATTCCAAGATCTGCGAACCAAAAGAAAAACAAATGCTCAAGAATACTGCAGTTCTTCCTGACCTGAAAGACTCCATTCCTTCCCCGTGACACTGAAACTAAAGTTTCTAAGAACCTCATCAAGTGACAAGTAGGCAAAAGTGAGCACGAAACACAAAAGCGGGCGCCAGCACTGTGGCGTAACAGGTAAAGCCGTCACCTCCAGTGCGGACATCCCATAAGCGAACCGGTTCGAATCCCAGCTTCTCCACTTCCGATCCAGCTCTCTGCTACAGCCTGGGAAAGCAGTGGAAGATGGCCCAACTCCTGGGGTCCCCACACCCATGTAGGTTCCTGGCTTCAGATCTGCACAGCTCCGGCCGTTGTGGCCATCTGGAGAGTGAACCAGCAGATAGAAGACCTCTTTCTCAGCCGGCGCCGCAGCTCACTAGGCTAATCCTCCGCCTAGCGGCGCCGGCACACCGGGTTCTAGTCCCAGCTGGGGCTCCGGATTCTGTCCCGGTTGCTCCTCTTCCAGGCCAGCCCTCTGCTGTGGCCAGGGAGTGCAGTGGAGGATGGCCCAGGTGCTTGGGCCCTGCACCCCATGGGAGACCAGGATAAGCACCTGGCTCCTGTCATCGGATCAGCGCGGTGCGCCGGCCGCAGCGCGCTGGCCGCGGCGGCCATTGGAGGGTGAACCAACGGCAAAAGGAAGACCTTTCTCTCTGTCTCTCTCTCTCTCTCTGTCCACTCTGCCTGTCAAAAAAATAAATAAATAAAAATAAAAAAAAAATTAAAAAAAGAAGACCTCTTTCTCTGCCTCTCTGCAACTTTGCCTTTCAAATAAATAAATGTCTTTTAAATATTTTTTAAAGTACCACAAGAGCAATTGCACAAAAACTAAATACAGCTTCTCACAGCCATAATGTGATGAAAAGAATTTTAGAAAATACAATCCCAGAAGTAGGGTAGAGAATATTCTAACAAGGAGAACCAGGGAACAGGGTTTTATTTCATTAACATATCATCACTCATCAATGGCTTCTCATGCACCCCACCCAAAAACTTTGGAGGTACTGTTAACTTTTACCAAAAGAATTACTTCCAATCAAAAAACTTTCAGCTGGAAGTCTCAAATTTCAAATTTTCTCTAAGCAAATTTTAACATTTTGCTTATTGCTTGTATGTAAACAACATAAATGGCTATTGAGTATTAACACTTGCAAGAGTTGACCATACCTAATTACTTAGAGATTTCCTATAGCTAGTTATCAGGTACAAATGAAACCTACAGTAACTTCAAGTGAACCAATTTGGCAAAAATGCAGGTCTAATAAGCAGTCTCAACACCCAGAGAAATTACCAGCTTAGGTCATTCACATCCTGTGAGCAACAGAGGTAAACTATCATTTTCTAAGATTATGTTCACATTTGCCTATTCAAATTTTCTCAATCACCTGCTGTTAAGACTTGGTTACCTAGATCAAAAACCAGATCTGTTCAAGAAAAGAAGGGGGTTAGACTGTCCTTAAATTGTCCTTAGTGGAAACTAGGATGAAACTAGATGAAAAAGGATCTAAGTAAAACAAAGGTTACACCACACTCTACAAAGGTTGGTCCTAAAACATTTAGGATACATTTACACTCCTTTTTAGTTCAAACTAAATTTTTTGAACTCAGTTTCTTAGCCTCTGGTATTTTTTGGTGGGGAGGGGGCTGGAATAAAAACAGTAACCACTGCATGGCCCAAGTATACAATACTGAGTATTACCACTTGGGAAGGTGAGGACTTTGCTTTTTGCAATCAAGGTCTCTTGTACAACCTCTGAGGATTACAAAAGAAAAATGCTTAAGTTTTGCCATACATATAAACCCAATTCCCTCAAATTAACAAGTATGCCACCAACTTCTAGCTTCAGCCTATTGAAACAATCATTTAAGCTCTAGTCTTGGCTACAGCAGGAAGTGGTCTTTACACAAGGATACAGATTTCCACTCCGCAACCCCCACATTTTATAGAAAGTTCTTCTGCCTCCCTCAATATCCCTCAAATGCTGCAACAATAAGTGTGTGGTTCTGGGCTCCTGGATCGAGACACAATCTGGATTCACTACCGTTTCACTGTTCTTGGAAAAGTCCCCAAATTTTCTCATGTAATTTTGAAGACTGAAGAAATACACAAGATAAGGCACTTAAAATAGTTCCTTATAATTCCTATTAAATAGATGCTATCTGTTGTCAAATACTTCTGTAGCACAATACCCAAACAGAAGACTAAAATCTAACCATTCTTCAAGATTTCTAAGAACCATAAAGTTCTTACTGGGTAGGATCTGAATGTTCAAGTACAGGGCTTAAAGGGAGTTCTCACTCGTTTTCACCAGAACACACGTTCTAACACACGTCTCAGGACTAAAAGAAGCTGCAGGTTAGAGTGCCTTAAGCATTTATGTTTACGGTTAAAAAGCTACATATCTGTGAGGATTAAAACTGGACCATTAAACCTTCAAAGTAGACAAGGAACACGTTAAATACTGTCATTTGCTACCTGAACATACTGATGCTAATATAATAAAGTGATAAAGGGAAAACATGGGGGAGAGGAACATAGGAGGAAACTCTAAACACCACTCAGTCATCGATTCTGAACAGTTTACTAACTTCTCTGAGCATCTTTTCACTAGTCTGGAATGTCCTAAAACATACTGTATGAAGACAGGAGTGGGAGGAGTATATAGCAGGGGACTTCTTCAGACAAGGACAAAAAGCAGTTTTGTAGTATTTTATTATCAATAACAAACAGCTGCTTTTAATTTGTCTGTCCTGCAGCTGTTAAAGGGTGGGTAGGAGGATACCCGTAACCCTAACAAGGAAAACTCAAATTAAGCCTTTATGTACAAGCAAATTCAGAGCTCTTTTAAATGGCCAAAGCTGTTAATTAGTTTAATTGAGGCATTAAACTAATTTTGAATTAACATACTTGAATAACCAGGAACTAAAATGTTCAAATTTTTTTCTAGTACAAAAAAATTAAATTTGCTTTAGTTATAAAAGAGCTCTGTCAATATACACAAACTATATACTTCAGACATTCACAAAAATGTGAGCAGAAGGCTTATCAAAAGACATTTAATACAATTAGTTTTCAACAACCCCTTGGTGGTCCACATCTACAAAGATATCCAGCCCAACCCCACCCCCCTCCAAACCCCACCCCCACAGAAAAGCACATACTTACCAGAATTTTTAGCAAGTATGGTTTGGGAATTTGTTTTTTGTTTTTTGTTTTTTTAAAAAAAGGCCCCCTGGGCAAGTTATTTACAGTTTAATTGCCACTGTCAACTGATCTGGACCTGGACCTGGACCTGGACCTGGACCTGGACCTGGATCTCTGGCGATCCACAGATGCTGGAGACTTAGATCTACTTGAAGAACCACGTTTCTGGCTCTTCTCAGGCGCAGGAGACCTACTAACAGAACGAGATTTGCTTCGGCTCCGGCTCCTGCTTCTTGAACGGCTGTAAGACTTGCGACTACGGGAACGAGACCGGCTACGAGACCTAGAGGAACTCCTGGTCCGGGATCGAGACCTGCTTCTTGACCTACTATGAGAAAAGAAGGGGGGGGGTGTCAGCCCATGTGATAAGCCCCACAAACCCATTAAAAAGCCCTTGTGATTTGGAATTATTAAAAATACCTGTGTCTTTTGCTGCCTTCGATTAATTTTATTTTTCTCCCATTTATTTCCTTTCCAGAAAGTTTTTCAATAGCATTCTTTAAATCACCATAAGAGGCAAACTCAACCACCCTAAAATGATGGGAGGAAAAAAAACCATTTTCAGAATATATACACCCCATTATCTTGCAAACGGTGTAGATGAGCAGTTCCTCTGTTTTGCTCTTGCTGCATCAAGCCTTATTTCTGACAGACAACACTCCTTAGAGTCAACTCTTGGCACTGCTGACATTTTGGCCAGGTAATTCTTTATTGTGGATTAACTATCCTGTATATTGTGGGGTGCTGTAACAGCATGCCTGGCTTCTACCTGCTACATGCCAGCAGCACGCTCAACCAGTTTTTACAAGCAAATTTATCTCCAGGCACTGCCTCGTGTCCCCTGTGCAGCCACATTTGTCTCCAGTGGAGAACCACTACATTCCAGTACATCCAAATCGTAAGTCTTATCTATGGAAAAAAAAGTTAGGGTATTTAAAGGCTTTCACAATCTCCAATACACACTCACCCTTCATTTAATTTAGGTCGATGTGCATCCGCAAAGGTTACTTCCCCAGCTTGCCTCATGAAATCTTTGAGATCCTTAACACAAGATAATTGTGTTATGCGGAGAAGAGGAAAGGTGACACACAAACAAGCACATGGTATAAAAACAAGACTACTGAAAGAGAAGATGTTAGATATACAAACATGGCATTTACCACACTTGTATTCTATCAGAATTCAAAAAGTATCTATCAGGGCACGAAATAAGCAAATAGCATATTGCTTTTAAGCAAAATGCTAAAGGAAATTCAGATTTTAACATTAAAGTAGTATTAGTCTATACTGAGTTCAGTACAAAGGGGAAAAAAACAAACAAAAAAACAAAAAAACAAAAAGAAACAATACAAATTTTAAAGTAAAGACTAAAGTAGAAGATTTATATTAAAAAAAAAAAACAGAACATTTACAAGACACCAGTTATTTTGTGCCCCATATGCCATTAAAAAAGTTTACTTTACCTTTATTAATATTTCCCTAGGCTAGTCAAGCAGCAAACCATTTATCGGTCGGAGAAACCTTCATGACATAGG